AGGACAGAGGCTGGAAACCCAGGCCAGTGCAGGCGTGGGCGTGTGCCTAAGGTCCCCAGAGGAGAAGGGAGGAGGAAGGATTGTGGAGTGGCCATCCTCCCTGGGAGGTGATTTCTTGCTGTCTGTCTTTCTTCACCTCTCCAGTAAGCACAGACACCCCCTAGCAAAAGCCTCTAAAAAACAAACAAAACAAAGTAAAATGACAAAGTATGATTTTTTAAAATTGTTATATATAATACTTGTCTTTTTCTTTCATCTCTGTTCTAGGACAACTCCCATTTTGTAAGATACTCAGTAAATCCAGAATCAGGAGTGAAGGCATGACTGTAACATCAAAGACTCGGGGGAGGCTTTTTCAAAAGCCTTAAGCCGTCACAGCTGGAGGAGTCCAAGCACAGGGTTCAAAGACTTGTCCCAGACATCCACTCCTGGCTACCTCCATTCACCTCCGGCAACCCCACCGCTGGAAGGACCGCGCTGTCTGCCCAGGTCAACCCCGGACTCCCGCCTCCAGCAGCCCAGCCCCTCCTTAACCTCCTGTCCCTCTATCCAGGGGACAGGACCCAGTTCTTGCTCAGCCTGGATCCCGCTAAGCCGGCGCTCAAGGAGGGCAGAGGAGGCGTCCGAAGCTTCCACTTGGGGGCGCTGGAAGGGCGCCGGGAAGGCTGAGGCAGGGCCGGGTGGCGTCAACCCGGGTGAAGGCGCCCAGGTCGTCACCTGACAGCTGCCTCCTCCCCCTAGAATCCCCGTAAAGCAGTAATGACCCTCACCGGAGCCTCTCACTTCCCCTCCCGCCCTCAGCGGTCCTTGTTCTCTCTCGTGGGTTCCTTAGTCCAAGTGAAAGAGCACGCGAGGAAGGGATGATGTAGGTTCGAATCCCGACTCAGTCATTTAAAGGCCGGACGGCCTTATTCAGAGCCCTTGGCCGCCCGGAGCTGGCCTGCAAAGTGGGGCCAAGAAGCCCACCTACTTTGGACAGTGTAGGCGCTCAGGAAACGGCAGTTTCCGGCCCGCATCCCGCCTTAGTCTCGTGTTTCCCTCTCCTCTGTTCAACCTCGACCTTTTTTTTTTTTTTTTTTAATTCCTCCCTCCCG